GAAAGAGGCCGTCGGCGGCCACTTTGAGTTTGATAAACCATAGCGTCTGTCCGAACACATACAACGGTTCGGCCAATAGTTCGATCACCACTGAGACCAAGACGGCGACCAAACCCACCCCATAGTCCGCCACTAGTTGTGGGTCCGGCTGTTCGACAATATAATACCAGATCAGACACAAAATGGTGCCAAAGACTAGAGATAAAGGGATTCTTTGGGATGCGATCATAAACAGCAATGAGTTTGAATGGCATATATCTGACACTTTCAAGTGAATCACTCGAGAGTGTACTTCACTATAAGTTTAAGTAATGTTTATTAACTAAATAGTGTTGTCTTACGAAAGACTGATAAGATTGACCAATAGTTGCCAATCATGTGATTTGGTGGCGCTTATGCTGACCCGTCTGAGCGGTTCCCGGCTTAAGAACTGAATGGTTGTGTACAACAGCAACAATCTTATGGATTAACAATCAGTAATTACCAGTAATTATCAAAGTATGAGCGCATCAGTGAAGACATACCTCACATTAATCACTGCAAACACATCCTCACTGACGGACCTCAAGATGACAGCATTGGCCACAAATGTGCCCACAATTAAGCTTAACTATGGATCCGTTAAAAGATAATAATTAAAGACTTAACGTATGTATTGAATGGACACTCGGTTTTGGGCCAACACTTAAGTGTCGGTACAATACCTGTAATATAATGTTATAAGTGGCCGATAGAGTGGCCAACTGTAGTGTCTGTAGTTTGTGTTGTTGTGGCACCAGTTTGTGATCGCTTGTCGTCGGCGGCCACTGGACACCGATGGCCACAGACATCGGTCACGAAAATACTTTCAAAAAGGTAAACTCAAAAGTTTGCTTTTCATTAGTCAATACATACAATGATTGTCATAAATAGTACCAAAACTACAAACAACTACTTCTCTTAGGGATAAGAAACTTATGGAGTGGGAACGGAATCATGGGAATATTCCCGGAGTTTATTGGAGTTTATCGGGAATTTATTATGGACTCCCTATAAATTCCCTACATTTTTCAACGGCTAACATTAAAAACGTTTTCAAGCGGTGCTGCCAT